AGTATTTGAGTAACAAAATACATTTTTGTACACTTTCGAGTATGCTCTACAACATGGCATAAACAACTATTTCAAAGCTTTAAAAAAATACTTAATGTCTGAAGTGTCGCGTTACGTGGACAAGCCGATATATTCAACGAAGAGAGTGTTCACTCTAAACTTATTCCGTATTGTACCAACTTCGCACAGAAAATAGAAATGGGTCTTCTCTGATTAATGTAATTTTAGTTCATGAAGTTGGAACAATACGAAGTAACATTTCTTTTTTCTTCTTCTTTTTCTCTACGTAGTTCTACACTTCTTCTATAGAGGTTATCATGTACATTTATATATATATATATATTTACAGAATAACGTCCTTAGGCTTATTCACTGTGTAGTTTTAATTGTGTTAAATTTTAATATTCTATCTCTGATGATGAATCGATGGTTCGAAATATCAGAATAAAACTTCATTAATAATAAAATAAGAAATGACTTTAGCTGCAATTTATGATAAAACAAGTACGAAATAAGTCACCCTCTTCCTTGAATACATAAAAGATGAACATTTGATGAAAATATAAAATTTGTTACTTTCTGATTTTATTCTTTAAACAGAAAACAGAAAAATTTCTGTCATAGGAAAATTTAAATAGGATCAGAGTACAATAAACTGTAAAAGAAAATATACCATGAAAAAATGTATGCGTTTGATAAAAGAATAACCTTTTGAAACAGAGCAGTTAATTGTCTTTGGAGAAGTAATCAAATCAGTTAGAAAAGAAAACAAAGTTCCTATATACATTTATATAAAAATTATTTTATATTGAAATGTTGTATAAGAGCAGAATATACAAATAGTCGTGGAATAGAGGAGTAGCGATCAACCGTTTGGTATATATATTTTGAAATGTTCTCGTAATTATCGAGAAAATAAGACTAATCAAAGAAGCTGCTCGAGATATAGACGAGTTGGGTATTCTTATTTTGTCGACAGTAATTTTCGTCGACACTAATTTCTTGCTCGATTAGTCGACACTTTTTTTATCTTGGTTCGTCGACACTATCTTTAGAATCAATTAAGCTTGATTCTTGTTTCGTTGAGAGCTTTCTTTATCCGTTGTAAAACATGGAATTATAGTGCAATCATAAAAATGTATACGATAATTTTATCTTTTTGTCAACTGTGTGCTTTCCACGAAAATTTCTCTCTTACGAGGGAAGGCACAGGATTGATCAATCGCTTTTAAAATTTTAGTGATGCCAATTTGTAGAGCTTGTTGAGTTATAAACTGAAATAATAATCGTTCGAGCTAACGGCGAGTTTAAGAGTAAATTTCTGATAATCAAAGTTGCATTAGCTTAACCATACCATGTATGTATATCATCGCGGAAGAAAATAGCTGCACACCGTATTTTTAAGATATTTTCCTTACGAAAAATATACTTTTACAAAAAATGATCGCATATTCTGATAGCCTTGGAATTCTCTACAATTCTGTATATTTACATCTTGACTTGCACTTATTCGCTGAAAAATAAATTGACTGCGATGAAGGCACCCTCATCATCCGATTCTCACGGACTGTATTCTGTTACTATCTTTTTGATTTGTTTTTTAAATTTATCGTCTCTGTAAAAGTTAGTTTTTATAAAATTAATTATATATTCTGATAGCGCTTGAAATTCTCTACAAAACCATACCTAAACTTTAATTTTAGAGCTTCAATCAAGAAAACTACTCACGTGAGTGATAATATGTGTGTTTTAATTTTTTATAGTTCTTTAAGTTTTTTGAGACCGAAAAGTTGAGAAAGCTGTAGAAAAGGAAAATTTCAAAAAGCTATTTTTAGGCTTAAAACACCTAAAAACTGGTCACGTTCTGCCAAATCCAGCGAAATAAGATGTCTGAAACTCGAAGGATACTCTAGCGAAATCCTGGCAAATCCTGTCATTTTCTGAGATTGGATCCATTGGAGCATTGTGTTCCATTAAAAAAATGAAGTTATTCATTTGCAAAAATTACTTCGTCCCCTTCGATCATGACTGTAATAGGGAAATTCAGAAAAAAAAAAGTTTTTCCGTGTATTATAGCGCCACTTTCGACGTAGTGTGTGCCCAAAATTGACGTTAGTTTTTTTCGCTCCTTTTTCGCTCTTTCTGATTTATTTTAATATCATAAACCGTTTCTACGCCATAAAAGAGACTAATTCATCATATTAACACTTAAAATTTGCCTTAGTCAGTTCGACATTTTCCACTTGCTCATTTAACCGACCAATTTCAAATGAAATCAATTTCTTTTGTTAATTCCCTCTAAGAACCGAATTAGAGGCATAACGCAATACTTTTTTTGAGACACGCGTAATACAATTTCGATTTATCACACGATACAAACCTGTGTGAGGGTAAATCTATCAGTTGAAATACTACAAGCTGTTACTCTCTAAAAAAATAGGTTCCTCTGTTACATAATTCGCTGTCGTCAGACATCATGTAAGACTGCAGCTGTTATTGCGTAATCAGTTGTTATTTGATATTCAATAATCATTTCTTATTGCGTAATTAATTATTGCATAATAGTTACGCCACATCTGCACTATATAAGCTATCGGTTACGTGGGAGTTAACAATTCATTTTTCGAAATAAACTACTACGAAACACACTTGGACTTAGTTATCAGTAAAACCGGGGCTATCATCCTCCCAGAAGCTTTAAAGATTTATACTTTTGAAACGAATTCGAAACCTCTAAAAGTTCGGTAGAAAAAAGATTTCGTAGGAAAATTCTGGGTTTTTTAAAAGAGAAGGTTTCGTGGAACGGGTTTCGTATCGACTTGCTTGAAATGAAGGGTTTCGTGCGGTACTATTTCTGAGTTTGCTCGACGATAATAATTACAAATATCTGCTAGGAAAACAGACTATTTTCTTGCCACTTCAAAGAATATCTTTCGATTCAAATTTAAAGCTACATATGGTATACAGCTTGCATGTATGTGTGGTTTTTTCTTAGTAGCGTCCTCACACAAAATTTTTCTTAGCTGCAAAAGATACTTGTCTATGACCTTCTGTCTGATGTTGTTTCAATTAAATAATGAATAAAATTAATTGTTTCCATTGATAATAGTGCAACTTCAGCATCTTTTGGTTCTGTCATATATGTACGATATTCATGTGCAGAAATAACAAATATAGGTGGACATTGTTGTAATGGTAACAATTTTAAACTATCACGTAATGAATTTTTAGCTTCATGTATTGTTTCATCAACAATTGAATCATATTGTTCAAATGTTGGTTTTCGATGACGAGAAAGTAGTCCTCTTTTCTTAGCTTTTTCCCCAACAGATATATCTTGTCTGGTAACCACAATAATAACAGGTCGGTTGTATTCATTTGCTTTTAATATAATTTTCTCTTCAGATTCAGTCAATGTTGATGATGTAGCAACTAAAGGTGATATGCAAGAGATATCCGTAGAAAAAGGTCATCAATCTGTTGTCGAACAAAAATTCAAATGTCATTCTTTCCTTGCATCTTATTCAGAGACTTACAACACAAGTAGATCAAATGTCCTTCATGAATGATTCTTTATTAAACAATCAAATGCATATAATGTTTTATCTTGAAAATAGCTTTCAAATGGATGTTCTGAAGTACCATATCCAGGCAAATCCCAAAGTACTACATATTTGAATGCATAATCATCGGATGCATTTTTACGCATTGGTCGATAAACAGATTGTGTTGTTTCTGTTCTTGGAAATCGATATGATCTTGTACATTGTGTTGTTTGAACTTCACCAGTAGGTGCAGAACCATCTGCCGAATAAACAAAATCTTTACTATTATCGACATCTTCCAAAATTCGAAGACAATTAATTAGTGATGATTTACCTTGAAATAGAAAAATCGAACTGAAATTATTATCCTCAGAACTATAGAGTCAATCTCGATTTCTGCCATATTCAATATATTCGCTGAACTCTCTTTTATCGACTTTCGTTAACTTTTTTAACACTCTGTATCACGAAAAAATGAAAGTGCACTTTTTTTAAAGATTCAAATAGTGTCAAATATACTTTGAAATGCGGGCTATCTAATTTCATAAAAAGTTTTGTTCTCAGTGCCACAGTCAGTCGGAAAATGGATTGTGAAAATTTGGCCGAGAAAACTGGTTGCTAAGAGATAGCAAACATGGAATTTGGAATCTGAAAACCATTTCTCAAAAGTTTCTACATAATCTTAAACCAGACGTTTCGGTCTATCGATTCGCAAAAAAAGATTTGATGCGAACCTTTTGGTGTTAGGAAAAACAATATTTCTTTCTACGCTAACGAGGGAATCCCTTTAGAAAAAGTGCCTCTATTCCGTTTTCGGTAAAATCAGATACTTTTGTCAGGTAAAACCCGGTTAATTTCTGAACAATAGCATCTCAATAAGCACCGTTAAAAAGCCACCATATGATGAGTACAACAGAT